ACCAGGCTTGCTCAACCAGTGCAAGTGGACGACGTGCACCACCTACCTTCGCAAGCCTCTTCGCCATCATGAGCCGTCGGAGTCCATCGCAACACTACTTCTTCCTTCTGTACATCAGATAGCCCACTCTGCGCTTCTGGGTATGACAGGTATCCTTCGGGGCTCGCGTTGGCACGAACCTGCAGTCACCATGGGGTTGTTGAGACAGTATGTTGGTTCTACTTGGCTTTGGTTTGCCCTGCTGTTAGTCCCCTCAACCGCCACAGTTCGGGATGTTCCTCAGATGCAGACTACAATGGCGACGATTGTTTTGGATCTGTGTATCCCTGATTCTTGCCCCAAGGCCGTTGCGATGTCCTTGCACAGGCGTAGGAGACGTGTCGCCATCTTGTGGTTTGATCACTTTTCCGACTTTTCTTGGAAGTTTTCTTGGCGAACACGCCTCTGGACATACCTAAGTCACTTGTTGCTTCGTGCTGCCGATCATGCAGCTGCTAAAGTTTTTCAGCGCTTCATTCTGCCAAGCGAACGGTGGGACGTCACCACATGTTCGTTTGTTGGTTACGTCAACAATGCCGTCAGATTTTCCCCGAGATAGCATCAGAACTTGCTCTTGAAGAATTCCTCGCCATGGTTTCCCCACGAGCCTCCAACAAGCAGACGTGGCGCGACAGTGCTCTTCGGTATTTCAAGCAAGTGCATGAGACCGAACGACATCCCATTGATAGGGAAGTCACGTGGGAGAGCTGGCGTGCCATGCTGAACCCTCAAGTTGATTGGGCTGCGACTACACACATAGCGAGTCCGCATTTCTTGACTTGGCTTGATGCTGTGGAGGGAATGCAGACATGGCATCTCCAGGATAACTTCCTAGGCAGTCTTTGGCATTTTCTGAAGCACTTCAGAATGCAAAGGCGTGTGTTTCCCATAGTCTTCACGATCACCGCTGAGTGTCACGAAGTTCTGTTGCCGTCATTGCAAGGTTTGGCATCTTGTTCAAATGGAAGATTCCACCTTGTACTCACACGTGAAATCGTCAGTCAGCATTGGCATCGTAAGATCATGAACTGTAGCCAGAAGTGCTACAGCTTGGCGCGATGCTGCTGTTGCCTTTTACTTTCCCCGGCCGACTTCTCATGCCCGGATGCAAAGCTTACTGAGCCTATTGGAGAACTTTAAACTTTTTGGCTTTACATATTTGGTCTAGCTTAAAAAGTTTGAACTTTGTTTGGGCCTGGTTATTGGAGAAGAGAGAAAGGGGGCTTGCGAGGTTTTAGGGTTTAGGGATAAGGGCTGGAGGCACTGCAGAGAGACCTCGTTCCAAACGGGCTTGTTTTTAGGCTTGCTGGGTTTTTAGGGTTTAGGGATTAGGGGCTTTCAGGGTTTTGGGGCTTGCAGGGTTTGAGGGTTTTCGGGATTAGGGCTTGCAGGGTTTTAGGGCTTAGAGATTTTTTGGCTTGCAGGGTTTTACAGCGTTTTAGGGTCTAGGGATTAGGGAGTGCAAGTTTCAGGGTTTAGGCATTAGGGCTGGTTTTTGAGGCTTGCGGGGTTTTAGGGTTTTGAGGTTCGAAGAGGCTTGGTTGCAGAAGGGATTGGGCGTTGCAGGGTTTTACGGTTTAGGGATCAGGGCTTGCTTTTAGGCTTGCAAGGTTTTGGGGTTCAGGGATCAGGGCTTGCGGGGTTTTGGGCCTGCAGGGTTTGAGGGTTTAGGATTCGTGTTTTTTTGGGTCTAGGGATTAGAGCTTGCAGAGTTTTATTTTTTCTAGCGATTACGGCTAGTTCTTGGGCTTGCAGGGTTTCAGGGTCCAGGGATTAGGGCTTGGCAGGGTTTTGGGGCTTTAGGATAGGGCTTGCAGGCTTTGAGGGTTTAGAGCAGGGTTTTAGGGGTTGCGGGATGAGGGCTTGCGGGGTTGTCGGTTTAGGGATTGGGGCTTGCAGGGTTCTAGGGTTTAAATAGGACTTACAGGGTTTGAGAGTTCAGGGCAGGGTTTTAGGGTTGAGGGATTAGGGCTTGCAGGGTTGTCGGTTTAGGGATACAGGGCTTGCAGAATCGTGACAGAGGGCTTCGAAACCATCTCTCTTGGAAGAGAGGTTTGAAGAAGTTTGGGAAGTTCCGAACGCGCAAATTGCATTCACGGCAGGATGTTTCATGGTACACTTGTCCATTCGCTGGCGAACTCTTCTAGTTATGGTCGATCTTGCTTGTAAAGTTTTGAAAATTTCACGGCAAGGATTGGATGAAGTCTACAATGAGGTCTTTGCTGGAAACGTCTCCGTTGTTTTAATAGTTTGCGGTTGTGCTCTCAGAAGGAATTCAAGGACGCTAGGGGAGGCCGGACTTAATCCAGCAGTTCGATTGGCACTCACCCCGTCCATCCAGGACCGACAAATCACAGCAGGACACGCCAGCACGGGAGCTGACATTGCCAAGGGTTTTCTCAAACTTCACACATGCCGCGCGTGCAGTCAAGTCTATGCAGGACTGCCTGTGAATATTCGGCAGCTGCCACAAGCCGACATGCGACTAGCCGACACACGCTTTTTTTCACGCTCTCCCAGAGTAACCTACGAATCAAGCTTCAAATTGGTTTTATCAGTGGCATGTTCTGTCATTTCCCATGTCCGATGCTGATCCCTTTTCGGTTCCATTTTTTTCGTGCACGAGAATAGGAGGCAGTCAAAAGCACGCACGGCAGAGCAGGCAATTGCCGTCCGAACTAGGTCCGAATACACGAATCCACAATGCCAGGTGCGATTGGACAGGATGAGGCTCTTGCCATCACGACAGCATGGGGCGAGGGAGGACATGGAGCTCACGCCCCTCCACCCATTTCATCGGGCAGTGGTTCCGGGGTCTTTACTGGGTTTTGGTTTGGGACCCGCATAGCAGCACACGCGCCACACTGGGGAGATGGACAGTCTAGCAGTACAAGGAGGTGGAGGCCTCCAAAGTTGCTTGATGCTTCTTGAAGCATTTACTCATGAGATTCTGGCGCAAGAAGTCAGCAAACAGCCTCGACAGGCAATATTGCGAGGAATTTCCTCTAACAGTAGAGCAGGCTCCTGACCGTTGCACAGCATCGGCACTTTCAAGAAGGGCTTTCAGACCAATGATTTTTTTGCCAAATGTTTATTTTCCTTGAGGGTTTCCTGCTTCCTGGCGGTTTGCTTGGATGGGAAGAGACTAGCCTTCTGGTTTTCTAGCTCATGCAGCTTCTCGGCTATCGGGCTGCATTTCCATCTGTCCCCGCAACAAATTACATGTGCCAAAACGTTTTCGGGTTTAGGATAAGGCTTGGAGGGTTTTGAGGGTTTGCAGGGTTTGAGGCCGCGCGCGGAAGGACGGAAATTCAGGCAGACTGGGTCGATGGGGGGGATCCGTTTGCCTCGAAACATGCAACTTTCTCGGTATTTACAGCTCTTTCGCCCCTTGTCCTTGCAATGATCTTCTGCACGTTCGCACTCTCTGGGTGTGCCGCCCGTTTGACTGCGCCAGAGCAAAGTCCCTCGATAATTGCAGCGTTTTCGTTGTCTCCGTTCGCATGTTGTTGTTTTTTTTCGGAAGGGGGGGCGGGTCTTGAGGCTCGCAAATGCTGGTATTCACCTTGCTTGGTGTGCGTCATTTTTCCCGGACACGCGAACTGCCTTGTGTTTACGAGACTTTCCGCAACTCACAATTTCGTGCGTGCCAAGACACACATGGCGAAGACAGCAAATTCAATGGTATTTGCAGCGCTTTCGGCATCTTGCCTTCGATTGACTCTGAATCTCTGCAATGATGCTCGGCTCGACTTCGCCTTTTCGCTCTGGCGGACGGGAGGGTTCCTGGGCACGTTGGTCTGTTGCGTTTCGGGTCAGTTTCTTCATGCTGTACCTCTCCAGACAGGTCGGGAGTCCGTATCCGAGTGGACAGCACCTCAATAGGAGTTGCTGCCTGTGCACATAGTTACAGTTCACGTGTGATCATATACACGACTCACGTGGATCACATAAGCTGTCATGCTGATTCGTTATAGTCCACGCGGCATGGCAAGTTTTGGGCCAAGTTTTGGTCTCGCTGCAATGTGGTTTCTGCCCAGTACTATGCATGTCAACTATGCCTGTGTGACGTTAGCCAACTGCCATGTCATCAAATTTGTGAAGCGCATGAATCATGGATTAACAAGATTCCCATAGAACCGCAAAGTAGGATTCTTCGATGGTTTGCTTTGACTTTGAGCTTAGCAATTGTGCTCGGGGACGAGGTCTCGCACTCAAAGTTTTCCGGAAACATACTTGCGCAGACACCCCACGTTTTTTCCAAATCGCGAAGCGGTGCTTCCTATTAAGGCTTTCAGAGTATAGGGTTTAGGGATTCGGGCTTGCAGGGTTTTAGGGTTTAGGGGTTAGGGCTTGCAAGGTTTCTGGGTTCAGGGATGAGGGCTTGCTTTTAGGCTCGCAGGGTTTTTAGGGTTGAGAGATTAGGACTTGCAGGGTTTTCGGTTCAGGATTAGGGCTTGCAGGGTTTTAGGTTTTGGGAGTAGGGCTTGCTTTTAAGCTCGCAGGGTTTTTAGGGTTGGCTTCGCAGGGTTTTAAAATTGAGGGATTAGGGCTTGCAGGGTTTTTCGGTTTGGGGGTTAGGGCTTGCGGGTTTTAGGTTGCGCTGGCGGACACTCCAGTCCGTGCTGACAGGGGCTTGCAAGGGAGTTATTAAGGCTTGCAGGGTTTTAGGGTTTAGGGATAAGGGCTTGCAGGGCTTTGACGGCCTGCAGGGTTTCAGGGTTTAGGGCCTTGCACGTTTTGTTTTGCGGGGCTTTGTAGGATTTACTGTAGGGATTAGGGCTGGATGCAAAAAGGGATTGGGGCTTGCAGGGTTTTGGGGCTTGGGGATTTTGGCTTGCAGGGTTTAGGGTTGGGGGGTTGATTGGGTTTAGGCTGTAGGCTTATGGATTCTTGGTTGGGGGTTTGGGACGTCTTGTAGGGTTTAGGAATCATGGCTCAGGGTTAGATGCCCTCGGCAGGAGCTCGCACGCTTGCGCGAAGAGAGGCTGAAGCATCCCGGCCGGGCAAAGATTGATCAGTAAGTTGGAGCGAAGGGAAAGAAAAGGACAGACCTGGGAAATAGGAAAAAAGAGAGAGAGGGCCTCTGCTCCACTCCCTGTAGAGAGAGAGAGAGAGAGAGAGAGAGAGAGAGAGAGAGAGAGAGAGAGAGAGAGAGAGAGAGGGAGAGAGAGAGACAGAGAGGCTATAGCCCTGGCGAAAGAAAGAAAGAGAGAGGGAGCTGCAAAATTCGAAGGTCAAAACATGACGGGGAAAGACCGAAACACATAGCTCTAATACTCAGACTCTGCCTTTTCGGTCACAAAACCATCAAGCTCTCACTCCGCTCTACAAAGCCCGTGAAAAAGCGGGCGGGCCATAGCGCCCGGGGGGCCTGACTAGCCCCTTAAGCCTGGGAGAAGAAGAGGGAGAGAGAGAAGCAGAGAGAGAGATAGAGTCAGATTTGATTTGTGCACTTCTCAGATCGGATACATGCATGCCCCAGTTTCAGCGACCCGAGCTACTAGCCAACAAAGCGCTGTGCCTGCGCTAGAGTTTGGCGTGTAGAGTTCAAGAACTTTTGTGTCTAGAGTTTAGGGTGCAGGGCTTTTCGAATTTAGGGTCGAGGTTGTCGAGATGAAACACTGGTTTAAAGAGGTGTTATCACAGACTCATAGACGTCACGAGAACTCGGAAAGCTTTGCAAAAATCAGCGGCCCCTTGTGCCCTGGAAAATGCTTCTCCGATCGATCTTCGAACGCTGCGTCCCATGCAAGAGGGGCTACCCCACTACCCCAGCCTTTGGGCCTCTGAGGCTCTGGAGCAAAGCCTAGCGGGCCTAGGGAAAAGCAGGCTCTGCGGTTCATGCACTTGTGCTCAGGTGCTCCGTGGGCTTCCTTAGCTCCTTGGGCCAGAGGAAGTTGCCGCCCATCGCGACCAGTCGTCACGAACCTGGCGAGGCACGCTCTGAATTTGCCAGGAAAAGATGCGGCCACCTTGCTTGTCGTTTTCGGAGGCCCTGTTCGCAAGCACACACTGATGCATTGAAAGCGAGGCCAGCACCGAGTCGCAGATGCCAAAGACAGGAGGAGACAAAGTTGATGAGGGCGACACTGCTGAAGACAGCGAGTCATCAAGCGATGACAGCTCATCGGTGGAGGAAAGTGATTGGGAAGACTACGATGATGAATTCTGCTTCCTTGGCACACCAGTCAGCACCCCGCCAGCACAACAGCCCACCGGCCAAGCAACCCAAAAAGGCTTCAAATCAGAGGCGCAGTGGTTCCATCGGCTCTGTGCTGAGGCAGGAACTATGTCCAGATCCTTCCGTCTGCCGACATGGAAACAGATGAGTGGAAGGAGTGCATCTTGTGAAGCGAAGATGGATATAACATCCTTGGCATGCTCAAGCTGCAGGAGATTCAAGCAGGAGCGGCGAAGCTCGCTCAAGGTGGCTTTGTCCCGTGATTCTGTCCCCAGATCGTGATCGATCGTGAGACTACACTACACTCAACATGCTTGTCTCTAGGCTGGAACATCAATGCTCGACGCCCGCAGAGCCAACCAGCCTCAGAAGCACAAGGCACAGAGTTGCAGCTGCGGTTTTTCAGAACTGCTGTCGCACTGTCGTGTCTCGTGTCACCATGCTGCTCAGAAGCACCTATGGGCTGGTTCGATCTCCCTCCAGCGCTGCGCAGCAGAAGCAAGCCTGCCCCAGAGCCAGAGAGGCGGGAGGGGAGGCTGGAAGAGAAGAAGAGAAGAGAGTGCTCTTGCACACGGCATTGCACAGTGACTGCTGCCGTGCTGATGCGACGAGGCCCATCTCGCGAGCGAAAACTCAGCCGCTGATGCCGAGACCCTGCCGAAAGTGGTTCGATCGTAGTCGTGGTGAAACTCAACGGCCTTTGTCGTGCACTTGCCAAGGAAGCCACCTAAGCAGCGGGAAGCCAGAGAAGTGCTTCGCCTGAAGACCGTGCAGATCGGACTGTAGGTATGTTGCGGGTTCGTGGGACCGTTGACCCAACGGCCTCCATGCAGTGCTCCCCAGAAGGGCGGCCCTCAAAGAGGCGAAGCCTGAATTCTGAATGAGAGGGTTATTTTTATTTTTTGCCTGCGAAGGCTTGTCATCGGGTTCAGAAATCTGAGCCAGTACATCTGGTTTTAACCTGCGTGGCTCCGAATTCGGAGGGTCGAGAGCTTGTAAGCTGAAGGCTGACAAGCAGAGACCTATGAATGGACTGAGATCTCCAGGGTGGATGAGCAGTCCGATCTTCCGAGGCTAAAGCTTCATCTCCATTCGCCTCGCCCCTTTGTTACAGTTGGCGGACGAGACGATGGCTGCACCTGTTTTTTGGGATCTGTGGGCCGATCAGGCCAGCCTTTCGCTCGATGGAGGCAGAACTTCCTGCAGAGAAAAGTGCGGAGAAGGGCCGACGAGACCCGCGAAGTCGGCTGCAAGCATGTCTGGGTCAGCTAAGGTGCCGGTGCCGAAGCTAGAGAAGCGCTAGAGGACTGGGAAGCAGCCAGCACGAGAACTGTCGTGCCGGAACCGCAAGTCGACCGGGCAACCCTTTCGCTGCGTCGCAGAGGGATCGTATGTCAGAAACTGCGACTACGCACGGTGCTGCGGGATGAAACACCACATGCATGTTGAAAATTCACGTTGTAGCGCCGGCGGGATTGCGTGGGTGGAGAGCAGGCAGCGACGAAGCAGCATCTCTCCGGTGTGCCTCGCCCAGCCAAGCTGTGTGGATGCACGTCTCCAAGTAAACAATGCAGCTTCCGCCGCTGGATGACCTGAAACACCACAGCCTTGCTCAGTAAAGTGCCACGAGAGCGGAGCTAAAGCCCCTTGCGGTTTGGCTTGCCGCTTCGGCTCGGAGGCAACGTTCAAGCGGATATCAAGCCATGAAGACGCCCGGGCCTTTCAAGCCAGGATTCGGAGGGTTCGTTTCAGAGAGCGCATGGCCATGCGAAGGCACATGAGCCGGTGGAGTCGTGACTTCATCTTTCTCGCAAGGTTTCATGGCTGTTGGGTGCAAGGATGTGTCTCTGTTAGGTTCTAGCCTCGCAAGCAGATTTCTTCCAGGCTCTGGCGCAGTTCATAGTTGTCTGGTAGTCAAGGTAACTGGTATGTAACTAGTAGTAGGACGAGCTTGTCCCAGTTATGAGTGCTGCAGTAGGATCTTGGTTTTCCTGCAGACTCCGAGGTGGCTGACAACTTGAACGATGACCCAGTGACGAGCCGAGACAGTTACCAGCTGGCGTGAGCAACTGCTTACAGTAGGTACAGGGGTTTAGGGCTTTAGGGTTTAGGGTATCAGCGGACGTCCTGGCATGTCCTGGCGTGACGTTGCAAGCCAGTTGCCAAGGGGTATCGGATATGTAGGGCATAGGATTTGGGGGTTCAGAGGTGCCTGACACCAGCCACGAGCCACCTACCGAGACCACTCCTTACATCTACTTCGAGATCCCGGGCGACCTCAGCGCCAGAGGCGCTCGATTCGTGCTGAACCCATACTTTGCCTCGGAAGCTAAGATCTCTAGTCCAGAACATTGTCAAGGCATCATCTCGAAGTGTAGAGGAGTCCTGGGTGATGTTGAGCCCAGCTCTCCAGCTTCGTGATTTTGCGGGCCTCTCATGTTGAGGGTGCAGGTATGAGTCTTTGCGTGCCTTTCGCACAAAGGGGCTTCCGGTTTAAACCTGGCGGTGCTGCCCAGAATTACTCCGGCAGTGCTGCTTCCCAGCTGATCAGCAGAGTCTGGGTTCAAAAAGCTTCGTGCCCTGCACGGGGAGAGAAGTCTGGAGGAATGCATACAAAGCGACAGGTCGGCAGATCGAGCGGTTTCTGTATGCCATGTCCTTACTGTGAGATGGTTCTTTAGATGCGATTCCAGCCGTTGGGATCCTCGCCTTTTGTGTTGCGATACAGGCCGCTTTGCCGAATGGTGGCGGCCCGCTCTGGGCTCGGTCGTGTTTTCGCTGCTTCGAAAGCAGTGACAGTCACATGTGGCCCCGAGGAGGATACCGATTAACTTCGGTCGCCAGGCTGGGCTGTGCAGAAGCGAGTGGGCAAGAAGTTACAGCAACTGGCGTTCTGGCAGGTTGCTTGCCAACTTCTTGGCTGCGAGGACAAGGCCAAGATGAGTGGCGAGCTTGGGCCTAGCCTGTCCCCGTCCCTGGCAGGTCGACTGGCGACAATGCCAGGATTCCAAGGAAGGTGAGAAGCCCCGCGCTGAGATCCATCTGCCGGCACGTATAGACAGCGAGTAGAGACGGCTTTTCATCATGCCAATGCCTGAGAGCGAGTGCTCCAGACTTGGCCGTGAAAATTCTTATTGGTATCATTGGGGGGGCGAAGTGACGCCTTCCAAGCTTCTGGCGGTCTTGCCTGCAACTTTTACACGCTCTCTGTGTAGTGCATGTTTGCTGCGAACGTTTTCGGTTGTCGTCCTACCCTGTCTCTTTCACCTCGTTGTAGTCCGTTGCAGTCGGTGCAAAGAGGTCAATGCAGATGTTCATGCTTGGATGGTCCATGTTGGCCTCGTCTGCCACGTCGAAGCTTTTAAACCGTCTGTTTCTTCTGCAGTTACGGCAACCTGACGCCGCAAGCCACCGATCGAATCTTCTGGTTCGGGCTCATCGTAAGCAACGCCATCGGAATGTTGCATTCGTGGCCCAGCTTTTTCTGTACGACTGCTGCAGCTTAAGCTTAGGTGAATTGAAGGTGCCTAGTTGGAGGAAAAGTGCTGGTTCTACTTTACATACAAATCCAACATCAAGGATTTTTTTGCCAGCTTTGTCTGTTTCACCGACTTTGCATGTGCATTAGCTTTCTGCTGCTTGCTCTGGTCTCATGGACTAGACGCATGTGCCAAGACATTTGCTCGTTGTCTGCTGTAGGAGAGGCGTGCAAACACCGATGATGAAAATGGTACCCTGCCATTTCATGCTTGGTGTAACTGCTGCAAATCGCATATCGGCCGTGCCGACAACTGGCCTTGGAAAGCCGGCTCTGAAAGCGTTAGCGAAGCACACGGCCCAAGAAAAAGGCCTGAATTGCGTGGCATGTGAGGCCATCGCTGCTAATGATCGAGAACTGTTCTCCACGAGCCCACAATCCAACACAAGGGAGTCAAAGCCTCGAAGCACCCCATTGCGGCTCAGCTTTGGGGACTGCTACGTCACCGGTGTCAGATCTCTTGGTCTGCCTAGGCCCAAAGCCCTAAAGGTACTCTGTGATTCGGACACATGGTTTACCATCGAGACTGTTGGTAAGCAGCAGGCCAAATGATGGAGGCATCTACGGCAGGTTCTAATCCTGAAGCTGGAAAGTCCTCGGATGGCCGGTTCGGGACAAACCCACGCCTGATTTGCAGGATTGCTGTGTCGCTTCCGGATCGGTATGCGATACTTTTTCTAGCCGCCCTAGCCTGTACAGCTTGTACGTTTGGAAGCATGTGTGGCGGCATTCAGCACGGGAGTGGTGTTCTTTGGTGGAGGACGCTTTTTCAAGAGGTGGCGGTTTTGCATCTACTCAATGAAAGTTGCAGCTGCCCCCTACCCGAAACCAAGGAAGCTGGCCCTGACCCTCCGGGAGATCTTCAAACCCTTCCAAGTGAAAGGCAAGTGAGCACTATTGCCCTTTGCCCAACTCAGCAGTGGGTGGCATGGGCGCGAGTCAAAACAAAAAAGCAATTCCGAGAGTTGGGCTAGAATCAGAGGCACCTGGGTAATGCTTGGTAAACTCTCGATGCCTGTGCTTGCATCGCGCGAGGGCGCATAGCACAACGGCCGCCTTTCATTCCGCAGCAATTTTGGGCACGAAGTGTCCGGGCTCGGACATGACGGGACAGAGAGTCTGGTAGCTTCACGTTTTGTTGTTGTCCCACCAATGCCCGAAACCTTAGCCAGTTTTCAGACTATCAGCCTGCCAACCCGAACACACAGCTAGACTCAAGAAGAAAGTTCAGGAACAGGCTTCAACCCAAGCAGCAGCCGCAACACACGTGACAGAGCAACACACACTTGCAGAGCTTGCCACCATGTGGGGCGCGGGGTGAGGGCCCCAATCTGTCATGAAAGACGTTGTGGAGTGAGTCTATGCGGATCCAAGGTATAATCCTGCACAGCCGTTTGTGCCGGGGACAATGCCTCAGTCTGAATCTACCGGGCAGGGTCAGGGGGTCCCGACATTCCTGGGCGATGTCTGGGAGAAGCCAAAACTGGTAAGTGTAAGATCCTGATGATGAAGACACCCAAAAAGTGATCTCTAGAGGCCGGAAACCCCATGTCGTATGTTCCGCGCTTCAGGACAAACCCTTTTGTGCCTGCACAGCACGCAGCTTGGGCTGTCCGGCCCTGGGCGTCTCTACCGCTTAGAGGAGCTGTGCGGCACTCTGCTTGCCTCAGGCCGCAGCTCACCAGCGGCAGTATGCGTGCGCCAGAATAGGTCCGAAGACAAAGATCGTCTTGATTTGGAGCTTGGCAGGTATGCTCAACCTGCAGTGCAGGCCGTGTTCTGCCACTTCGTAGCAGCTTGAGAGGCTCGAATTGGCATGTCTTGTGAGGCCGGCTATGCGAGCCAGGCCGCATTGGGTGCTGGTCTCGGCGTGTATTGGTAGCAGCCAAGATCGCACATTCTGTCCCTGGCAGGTGCTAGACAATGCAAGGCATTTGGGCTTAGGCTTCGCTCCCACCCCAACATGGGGCGAGTCGGAGCCAGCACAGTGTAGCATTTGTAGCTGGATGTCATTCTGTGACCTCCACGAGTGGTTCCTGGACAATGGTGGCGAACTGGCTCCAGGCATTGGTCCTGCCAAATCATAAGCTGCAGGACTTTTGCCGATTCACTTCTGTCAGCAAGAGTAGAGTTCTCTTCTGGAAGAGCGGGCTACCCGTTGCAGGTGTCCACGTAGCAGATTCCGCTCTCGGCGGTCGTGGACTTTTTGCCTCCACCACGCTGTCAGCGGGCTCCCAGGTTTTGTCTCTTCCTTTGGAAGCATGCCTGTGCCCCGTCTGCAAGTTGGAAATACCACTATGTCATCATCACCATTTCAATCATAGTCATCATCACCACCGCCGGCATCATCATCATCATCATCCTCATCATCATCTCCTCATCCTGACACCACGAGTACATTAAGTGTTACTCATCATTACCGTTATTCTTCTCGTAATTTTTAACATCATCAGCATCGTGATTGTAATTGCTTTTCATCGTCCCCGATGTGGATCTTCTCGCACATCTGCGGTCATCGGTATGCTGTCTGCCTTTCTGCGCCGTGCGAAAGTCCTGTTGGGCCTGCCCCGTAACAGTATGAATTCATACTTACGTGCACCTTTAAGTTGGTTGCCGACTCGTTGCTCCTGCGGAGCTGCTACAAGTCCGCTTGGTGGGTGACACGATCTTTGCGGTTCGTTGTTAGTAAACGTGCGGTTTTAGTGGTTGTTGGCTGCCAGTTTGTAGTTGGAGGAGGAGGAGGAGGAGGAGGAGGAGGAGGAGGAGGAAGACCGGCGGAGGCGGTGGCGGTGGCGGTGGCGGTGGCGGTGGGGGTGGCGGTGGCGGTGGCGGTGGCGGTGGCGGCGGCGGCGGCGGCGGCGGCGGTGGTGGTGGTGGTGGTGGTGGCGGCACGTCCATGTTATTGCGCTTGTGCTTGTCGTCGTTTCATTGTTGTTGCTAGACAGTCCATGTCCCGCTTAAAGCTGCAATCTCGACAAGCGGTAAGGCTGTGCGTGGAGATTTGACAGCCCCGAATCTAGATCAGGTCATCAGCAGACCCGAGTGTGGCAGACCTGCCGGTCAACTCGTTCCTCAGCTGCAGTCCCAAATGTGCAGATCCCGCTTTTACCCTTCGCCACACTTCTGCCTGCCCGTTCCAATCCACCGAGCACCATCCCACAACCGCCCGGCGCCTGGCAGGCCCTCGTTTCGTATTTGGGTTTTCGCTGTGAACTGACGGGCATTCAAGAGTCCACCAGCTACCCGGACAGTGGCATGCATGGTTTTCTCAGCAAAGCTCGGAGCCACACGCCTCTGGCCTATCTGACGACTGCTGCCTCTACCTCCTTGCCCCACATTCCTTGCATCACGCCCGCCTGCCCTCGACCAAACCTTCGTCCCCTCTGCTCAATCTCATGTTGATATGGAGCTTGAGGCTCTTCCGACTGACGGAGCTTCTTTGCGCTGAAATACAGAAGGGTGATGCCTCGCGATGGGCTTGTTGGTTCCAGAGCTGCAGCCCAGATAAACAGTTTGAGGCACGGGTCGCCAGGTTTCAGTCATGAGGGCTCTTTATCCGTAGCAAAGACTTTGCACCACCTCTTCGCGACATGTTCGCCGTGAAGGATCTAGCAAGCAGGGACGCCCGCAAGCCGCCAGGTTTCGATCCCTTCCTCGGGAGTGCGGTAGCTGGCCCGAGTGGCGCGAGCCCGAGCTGCGGGCGGCACAGCGCGGCCCACCCGAGCTCTTCAAGGCGCCACAGTTTCGGACCGAAGCCTTCGCGATCTCGGGACGAGGGCGACTTCAAAGCACGTTGAGACGCAGGAAGGGTGGTTTGGACCTGCATTTCTCCTAGTCTAGCCGCATTTTCAAACAGAAAGAAGCTCCTCCAATCGAAGCTAGTTCACTTCGAAGAAAAAGGCACGCCCTTCAAACATGGAAGTAAGCCGAGCCAAGCCAAGCCAAGCCAAAAAAGCCAAGCGCCGAGCCCAGCCAAGCCGAGCCGCATCAAAAGAAAAGGCACCCAGCGCAACCAAGCCGAATGACAAGCCACACCTGATTCCGAAAAAAGCCTTCGACCGCTAACCAAGCGTATCCGCTCACTCTATGGACCTTAGCAATCGAGTCAAGCCACCCCGGCCGCCCCCGACACCACCCCACCTCAACCCAACCCAAGTCAACTCAGACCAACCCACTCACCCACCCACCCAAATCAAGCAAGCAAGCAAGCCAACCCAACCCAGATTAACCCACTCACCCAAAACAAGCAATCAATCAATCCAGCAAGCAAGCGACTGCTTCGCTTTGCCCTTCGTCTTGGTAAGCGAGGAGGCGGTCGATCTGGCTCGCAAGCTGCCGCAGTGGCACAAGCAGCTGAGCCAGATCTTGCCACAGAGCAGCATGGCCACAGTCAACCTGACGTCACGAGGAAGTGTCTTCTGGTTCCGTAAGCTGGGGCAAGGAGGTTGGATTTTGTTTCAGATCATGCCCAGTCCTGCTACCCTAGTGAATGGCTTCTGTCAGAAGACTTGTTCTTGGTTGCATGGACCAACTCCGATGCTCAGGCATCGTTGCCGGTCTTGATGACAAGGCAAGCTTCAGGCGAGCACTGGCCGTGCTGTTCAGTCGCCGCTTCGGCATGCTCTGCGATGACGCTAAGGTTGCTGTTTGTGTGCCACTGGGTGATATGATCAACCATGCCGCCACCGAAGCTAGCGTGGAGGTGCAGTATGACCAGGCATCGAGGCGGCTGGCATTCGTGACCCAAGACACAGTCGCGGCTGGCGGCGAGCTTTTGATTTGCTATGGGCAGCTGGACAACCTGGAACTATGCACAAGCCATGGTTTCGTTCTACCCCAGAACCCCTGGGATGGCATCATGTTGTCTGATGGTGTCAAACTGACCCGAACATCCCAGCTGCAACTTCCAGCGCTGACGGAGGTTCAGCGTATGATGGAGGACTTGCCTCCGAAAGAGGAGGATGATGGCGTGTGGACTGATGATAGCAGCTCGCAGGGCTGCCGCGCCATTGCCAGTTATCGGCTAAGCTACCGCCAGATGCTGCAGCAACTGCTGGACAGCCCTGCACCTGGATAGCGCCATCAAGGAGGCTTCAGCTTCGGGAGAGGTCGACATCGTGCGAGCTGCCACTGCCATGGGCGACGAGGAGCGCGAGATTGCACAGCAAGTGCACGCCTTTCGGCGACGGGCTGGGCGGAAAAACTGCTAGATTGGGTGATTCTGCTGCCCACCTGCCGTGGTGCCTGCCGTTGTTTCCCTGGCAAACCTTGCGCGACCGAGGCGCTACATGGCCGCAGTCCATGCCGCTGACAAGCATGCAAGGGCCTCATGAATCCCCATATCATCAGCCTGATGGCCCAGCAGTGCTGCTCGCCATGACCTAAGGAGCACCTCCTCAAAGCCTGCGGGAGAGGAAAGGCCTCTGCCTTGGACTGGGAGCGGCATTGGCAAGTACAGCGGGAGGAAACGAGGATCAGTGGAGATACTGTGAGATACTGCTCCGCTGGAAGTAGGTTGTCTGAGCCTGTGTGAGGTATGTTGCGTTCTCTGAAGGGAACGACAAGGATGAGGCCGGGTGCAGACGACTTGGCCCTTTTGCAAAGTCCGGCTTCGCCACCCTTCGCCACAATCCGCCCCTGCACGTGGCAGTTCGTGATTCAAACCCTCAGCGGTGACTTCGTGGCCGGGCCCTCGGAGTGAAGTTTTTACATTCACCTCCTTTTGTGTCTTGCGGTCTTGTCGTGTGCAGGTGAAGGGTGAGAACCACGGCCGACCCTACTATCAGAAGCTGCAACCGCCCCAGACAGTGCCACAGTGCAGGGCAGGGCAGAGTACGGGATTCAATTAAGGCCCGCCAGACCGGGGACGGCACCTCCAGAGGCAGAAACGGCGGTGAAACTAAGCTGCGCCAAGTAACGAGTTGCGTGTGGGCAGGTGTACGTTTACTATTGGGACGGCCGCGATGGTGCCTCTTTCGAGGGCTGGTGGTTTGGCAAGGCTTCGTGCCGCAACATGCATGCAGCCCGCATCACATCGCGTTGTTTGCTTCAGGCCGTTGGCGGTAACGAGGCTCGCCGAGTGGCTTTGGGCTAGGCACGAGGCCTCAGCAACATGCTTGCTTATGAGTTGCCAGGTTTGGTCCCACTGCTGACAACTCAGACCAGAGATCAGAGACATCAGACGTGCAGAAAAAGAGATCTGAGCTTTCAGGCCCGGACAAGGCGTATCTGCCGCCCCTCAAAGGCTGGAAGATCCCCTTCCAGGGGCTCAGACCTCGGCGATGTTCTTACAAAGCGGCAGCACTACGACTGTTGCAACTCGGCTGAGGCCACCACGCAACACCTTCTTGATGATGCCCCGGACTGCGGGGCATGTGTGCACCAGAAGATTCTGAAACAGCCGGAAAAACGGCAGTCTGTGACAAACTTGCTGTTGCAACTGTTTGCTGGTCGTCCGGTCGGCAACGGGTGAACTTTGGAGGAGCATCACAGCAGATTTGTGTGGGCTTTCAGACGACGGGACAATGGACAGGACAGACAAAGTGAAGCGAGAAAACTCCGAGCGCGCTGGTCGTGCCAAGGCAGGCAATCTCGGTGATGTTGGGCCCGCTCCTTCTCACAAGTCAGGTTATGGAGCAGGAGGCGACCCATGTCATCAATGCAGCGCAGAAAGCAGCCGATGAAGCGAGCTCCTGGCTCAGTGCCACTTTGGGAGGCTGTGTTTCCAGCATAGAACACCACGTGACCAAGAAGCCACCTGCGAGCGGGATCATGGCAGCCGGGTGCCCGGCTGCTGCGTGAACGGTGTCCTCGACCTCTATTGAGAACAGCTTTTGCGGCTTTTGCACATGTGCAGTGGCTGTGAGGCCTTGACCCAACGCTTCTCAAGGAGACGGAGGCGTCTGTGTTGGGTTTGCCGAGATTGCCGAAACTGTTCGGGAGACGCATCCTGGTTGTGTCACGCTGGATTGCCAGACGCACACACATGTACAGTTTTCAGGAGTGATAATCGCTATTCCACGGTAGGCTACACGGCTGTTGTCTGTTCAGGCGGCGCTGAAGCCGCACCTCCAGGCTCCCAAAGCTTTCATACCATGCGGAACCATCATAGTTGATTTTGCGAAGGGTCGAGAGATGAGGAGGGGCTGGAAGAGACGGGCAGATTAGACATGCAGCCCATGTTTTTATGTTCTTTCAGTTTTTTTTTCCTATGGGCGCGCGCGCAGGCCCTTCTCGATCAGCTCAAAGTGCTGGAGACTTGTGGCCTAGGCGAATCAATGTAGGATCTTTCGCAGCCTCCGTTCTTTCCACGTGTGCAGGTGATGCCATACGGGCAGTGGAGCTGGGATCTGAAGTTCTGCACGCAGGTGTTTGCTGACACGTGTGGCATGGAAAGTGGCTGTAAGGACGCGCATCCGACGGACACACGTTGCAGCGACTGACGCTGCGACCAAGATCAAGGCCGGAGGCTTCTGTGGATGTTCGGAGTGGCGACGTTGACTCGCAGGTTCTCATACCACAGGCCAGGTCCACCTGCTCTGGGCTCTGCTCTGGGCTCTGTCCTCAACGCTCGCGCCAGGTTATGAGGGTGCAGCATGAAAAGCAATCGGAGCAGCGAGCCAACAACTTGGCCTCGACGGGCACCCTCGAATGTTCAGCTCCACTTGCAATTCAAGAATGAGGATGAGAAGCTCTTGAAAGAGATGCTCGCTTCGATCATGGAAAAGTTCCATGAAGCAGAGGCCCATACTCAATGCCTGCCGGTTTATGGCTTTGTGTGTCAGCCTGGCTTCAAAGGATACGGCTGAGTGCTGGCTCCTGTTGGTGGGTGTCAAGACAAGTTTGCTTTTTGCAGGACTTGGTGGAAAAGGCTGAGATCACCTCGGCCATGATCGAACACGCAGCTGAGCGGCAACACTGTTGCAGATCCCAGGTGTTCGGAGCATCGTCTTGCTGCCTAATGGGAGCAGCCTAGTGATCCTAGCGGGATCGTCAAATACCAGCAGCCGCGTGTGCTCGAACTCCCAGGCTGGCGATGACTTAGCCGAGGCGCAGAAGGCGGCAGAGCAGACGGAGGAGCGGAGCGGAGCGAAGCGTATTTCAACGGCACTTGAACTCGGCCATCGTGCTGAGTCCTGTCTGCCCAAGGAGTCAGCGAAACAAGCAGCCGCCGCGGTGCCTCGAACAAACAGTGCAGCGTAGCTTCACCGATCTCAGTCTTCTCTCTTGAACAGAAACGACAAGCTTGGGACACTGCTGTGGTCATTCTTGCTTGCAGTAGCTTGCGACAGCGCGAGGTCAAAGAAGCACTGACAGTCTCTGACTTAAATACTGCATGCCGCAGTAGTACGGAGTAGACAGCGAAGCAGAAGAGCCAGTGAAGTGCAAGGCAATTGGCTTGAAGCTGGGCATGCTGAAGCAGTTCGAGAGTGATCAGGGTCGGCTGAAGGCCGGTTGTAGTTCGCATTTGCCGAGTCTTTCCAGAGCTTTGAGTTAGCAGATTAAGAACTCGCAGGCCACAGATTCCTTGGGCACATTCCGCGAGAAACTGCGAGTGGCAAACCAGCGGCTCGACCTGTAAAGGAGAGAGCACTGGCAAAAAGACAGAGACTACCTTCTGCCAGCTCTGTGCAAGCCAAGGAAGCTGCTGCCTTTCTTGGCAGCTCAAGACACCTTCAAGGCACAAGTAGAGGCCAAAAACCTCGCTGACGAGATGGAGGCCAAGCTGACACCTGCAGAGGCTCGCGTCACGACCTGGACGCACCGGGGCCATGATGCCCCCGAAAGCTTGTAATGCCTTGAGGTTGAAGTTGAACGAGCAGAGACCATCGCGGAGCCTTTGCTCAACTTCGCAGAGGTTGGCCCGCCGGCAAAGTGTGCAGCAGTAATGGTACCGGTAGCTGCCACGAAGCAGGCAGCTTTGGCTGCGGGTCAAGCTGCTGCAGAAGCTACCGCGACGCCCAAAGCGAGCCTTGGCGGACACGAAGCTTTAGTACGTTCGCGAGCTCAACGGTAGACGGGCTAGGAAGCCTCTGCTGTTCTTGTTCCGTGCCTCCGTGCCGTTGTCAGGAAAGCAAAGGCCAAAGAGAAGGAATCATCGAAGCCTGCCAAGAAGAAGAGTGAGAAACATGAGCTTCCGACCGCTGAGGTGGAACAGTGAGAGGATGTGTTTCTGCCCGTCGAAGCCCGAAAGGTCCCAAGACACACCACCCTTGGTGAGGTGGTGGCGCTGGCAGCGAAGCACGCAGCAGAAGCAGCCGTGAATCTTCAGGGAGTGCAGAAGCTGCTGGACCTGAAGCGATCCTTGGATGCCAGAGAGAAAGCGGCCGGTCAGCCCTTTCGGATGAACAACACCTGTCCCCAAGGAAGCAACCAGCAAGTCTTGTTCTCCACGCCGATGAAGAAGGTTGCCTGCAAAGACGATGTCTTGACACAGATCTCTTGAGCAAGCCGTCGTGCATCTTTCGCCATCCACCACTGGCGGTTTTGCAAAGTTCCTTGCTTCAGCGGGCAGGTGCTGGAGAAAGTGGAGACACGCATCAAAAACGCCCAGAAGCTGCTTGTTGCAATAGCGGGATGGGGCCAGCCGCGCAGCCTTCAAAATTACGTACACACACTACTGGGACTTGCAAAGATGCATGCAGCGTTTCCAACATTCTCCAACGATGCTCGTAGCCGTAGCTTGTGTCATAACAATCATAACACCGTCTTCCGATGCTGTGACAAAGGAAGCTGGATCGCATCAAGATCGCTCAGAAGGAGCTGCGCGAAAGGGAGACAAGCACGGCTTTAGCAGCTCGGTGGTGTATGAGAGATGTGGGCATTGCAGAGCGAGAGCTGGGAGCTTCAGGTCAGTGATGTGGCCGAGAAGATGGACTCCGTTGCGAAGGTCGCGGCGCTGTCAGCTCGGCTGCCGAGACGTTGGAAAGTAAAGTCCTGAAAGCTGTGCAGGCAATAAAGGAAGCGAAGACGGCAGTGGATGAGGCGCAGGGAGAAGAGGAGGACACAAGTGACACAACCATGGCAACTTCTGTGACATTCCATTCCTGCTAGCCGCAATTTTTTGGTCCTTTGCCG